ACATCAAGTTGGCCTCCAGTTAGCCCTGTCACTGTCACCACCTCACTTTACAGCTGAGCAAGATCTCACACTGATTGAGAAGACTCCCCTTTGTGCTACTATAGAAACGTAGTAACATAAAACATGGGGTTTATTGTGAGCTCTTTGTCAAAAGGCATAATTGTCACTGGTGTTTATGTAAATAGGACTGGGCCTTTGATGTGATTGAGTGAGCTGCACATTATAATATGTTACGTGCCAGTTAAACATGGATGAAAAGAAACAGGAGCTCCGTCACACTTACACAAAATTACCACCACGCAGTTCAAGTGTGCATAAACAAACACGTACTAAAGTAGTCTATTTAGTAGTAACTTCTGACATGAAACAAGTAGAAGTTTAGTCTTCACCTGGAAAAGTTTCTCATCACATTCTCAGGGTAGAATTTCTGTGTGCCAATGCTATGGTTGCAATTGTCTTCCTAAATGTTTCAATAACTCTTGATAATGTTCACGGGCAGTTAAAGCATTTGCCGAGGAAGTACACCCCTCTGTTTACAGGTCTACCGTCACTACTCCTGCCAGGTACATTTCTCACGCAGAATAGGGCTTTTGTTCTTAGTTAAAAAATTTAAATGTTAGTATTTTAGGAATTTTTTAGCTCAGCACTTTGCTGACCCCCTCCATAGGGTATGCTTGTTTAAAAATGCAGTCAGGACAACTGCTAATCCTCCTGCAAAATAGGATGTAGATATCCCGTGAGTAGATATGACTCAAATGAGCTTCAAGGTGAAAGCTTCTAGCCTTCACTGTGTTTCTTACACCATCTAAACCTGTCCTCCACAATACCAAATCGCACCTTATTTGAAGCATCAACAGCCATACGTAATTAATGCAAAGCTGATTAACTATTTCACCTGTAGCTCCTGTGCATTTTACATATATCTATAGGAATTATGTCTAACCTGTAATGGCTGTAAATGGCTACAGATAGAATCAAATAATCATAGAATCATTAAGGTTGGAAAAGACCTCTAAGATCATCAAGTCCAACCTTTGACGGAATACCACCATGCCCACTAAACCATATCACAAAGTGCCACGTCTACTTGTTTTTTGAACACTTCCAGGGATGGTGACCCAACCGCTTCTCTGAGGAGCCTGTTCCAATGCTTAACCATTTTTTTCTCAAAGATAGAAGCTTTGAGCAAAATACATGGCCTGTGTGATGTTATAACTGCTCTGTATGACACTTCTCAACAGTAGCAACCATGGTAATGATATCACAGCACAAAAATAGCCCAAAGAAGTTCTTTCATAGACATTCTTCCAACAAAAGAAAGAGATGGATTCTTTGGAAAGAAGTGATTCTAAGAGATAGTCACTGTTCTTAAGACCAAAACGACAGCATAAACCATAAGCAAGTATTTCACAGGAAATGTAGATGGCAAACATACAAAAGGAGCATTGTCTCATATCATGTAATGATGTTTATATTTCAGATCCTCATAAACTGAGAGAAGATTCTATTGCTGCCTTTACACTGAAAATATTTCTTCTTGCTGATGTGTATCATTGAGCAGTTGAAAAAGACCACAGTAAATAACATCAAGATCATTTGTACCTTTAATCCATTATAAAGTTGGAATTCGATTTTTTTCCCTAAAATAAAAATGCCATTGTATATTCATCCAATGCCTTATTGACAGTTGCTTATTTTTAGTGATTTTAAGGAGGCAGGAAGGAGAAGAAAAAGTTAGTCTTTGATGTCTGTGGTTCCAACAGTAAGGAGTTGGAGACTTCTTTGAGAATAATTTAAATCTAATCAATTTAGCTCAGCTGGTACAACATTACAGCAATAAAAAGGTTTACCTGTACAAAGAAAAAAAAAATCGATTAATGAGCAAATGCATAAAAAAGAACAGGACTGATCATTTGAGTGGCAGGAGGTGACTTTCCATCTCTAAATTCTCCTTTTCACATCATCTGCTTTTCTGGAAAGTGCTTCATACCAGTGCTAAGTTTAAAACTTTACCAAATATACCAATTACATTTTATACTGTATGAGTGTAGAAAATCTGAGATGAAAAGATATCATTAGACACAGAGGTAGTGTTCTTGACTAAAGAAGAATGTCTATAAGCTACTAAAATACTTCACATAGTATGAAAATAAATTTCAGTGACTCAAACTAAAACCTAATACTTTAAGATTACCAAAACTCTCTCAAAAGTAAACAGAACTAGCAAACAAACTACAAGTCTTTAAAGCAGGGAAGATCTTCTGTTCTAAAAAGGAAAGAAGGTAGAACATTCTGATACATAGGTGCCAAGAAAATCCTGGTGCATAGAGATAGGGTTACCTGATCCTAACTAGGGATCACAAAAGAGTGACCAGTTCCCCCTCCACACCATTCAGCTCAGAAGGGTCTTTGCAATGCCACCACACAACCACATCTGTACTGCTTTTCAGTGGCTCAGTCTCCAAATGTATGCTTTTACAGTTGGGTTCACACAGCCCAAAGCCCCTCACTTGAACCTGTTTGGCCCACATAGACAGCAGGTCTGCACACCAAGCCACAGCATGCTGTAGCAAACAGAGTTCCTGCCTTTCTGTTCCCTGTTGGCATTCAGACTCTACAGGCTGATAGTGAGCCACATCAGCACTGATCCAGGTGACCATGTAATCATCTAATGTCTAATGTTGACACAAGCAAGGCAATGGGAATACACAGGAATGGGGAAGGTAGGACTTTCTTTCTGGGTGGCAGAGAGATTGGCTCTGTTGTTCTAAGCCATCAGTTTGCTCAGTGTCCTAAACCAACTACAATCATATCCTTTAATAATTCTATGTAGTAAGTCACACAAACCTCTATTATGTAATTTTTTAGGCGTTATATATACCTACACTAAATATTACTCTTGTCATCCTTAAAAATACTCTAGATAGGAAATATATTGTTCAATAGCTAGGAAGCAGTGATCATAATGCTAAACAGCAACCCCATCTTTCTTCAAAGTATGATCTAATTTGGATTGTATTTATGTGAAATGAAGAGAACATGTAAAAGTCGGAAGCTGTGTATAGATAAGTCCCAGAGAGAAGATCTGGGCGCCTCAAGCACACAGAGCATAACTGAGGCACAACTTAACCACCCAGATCCACAAGTACAATGGTGGATTGCAGGTGACCAAGCTCTGGAACAAATTGCTCAGAGAGATTGTGGAGTCTCCCTCACTGAAGATATTTAGGAACCATCTGGACACAATCCTGTGCCATGTGCTCTAGGATGGCCCTGCTTGAGCAGGGAGGTTGGACCAGATGACCAGCTATGGTCCCTTCCAACCTGATCCATTCTGTGAGTCTGAGTCTGTGATTTACAGAAGTTAAACCTTAAATTCCTTATGTATCCCACATTCAAGCTAAACACTCTCCAAGTGCCAAGCATCCAATATCCAAAGGGAACCTCGGTTTGGATTCCAAATTTTAGGTCACAAACAGATCTGTCAAACTCCAGCTCTGGAAAAGGAGCCTCCCTGTAAGAGGATAGGGTTTCAGATTGGACTGCAGAAGTCAACACAACCCCAAACACTGGAAAGTGGAATCTGCTTAACTGCAACTGTTTCATCTGAATGGCTTAGGCTGAAGATAAGTAAAGCTGGTAATGTGCTAAATCCTACTCTGAAACCTTACCATTTCCTATGAGCTGTCATTACACATCTCTTTGCTTAGTATCCCACTTACTTCAGCAGCTATGCAGAAGTCCTTGAAGTTCTGTCCTTATTACCAAGGAGTGAGGCCAAACAGGGAAATATTACTGGAGTGACCAGGCTGTGCAGAGGAGCCAAAGGAAAGGTGGTTTCTCCTTCAAGTTAGCACTAGCCTGGTTCCATGAGCTGAACAGCCACAAGTGGCTGGAGGACATCTTCAAGTACAGTGCCATCCAAAAGCCATCCAGCAAATGCTCTCCAAGGTGCTCTGAGATTTCACCCAAAGTAGAGGTGATCAGGAAATGTGCTTCAAAAGCACATTCCTTATTGAAACAAAAAGTGCTAAAGCAGCATTATACTGCACCCTTACTCACCGCAGAGATCGTACTAAGCACCTAAATATTTTGCACAGGAAGTGGTGTCTGTAAGTCACTGACAATGTCACCAATGCTTCATCTATCCCTAAGTACAACATACCACAACTAAATTCTGAATGCACCTTAGTCCTACAGAAGTAAGTCAAAGTCCTTTGGGACCAGAATTCTACCTTCAAAGTATTCCATTTTTGTGTATTTTCTTATGAGCTAGTTGAAAAACATTTTCCTACGTGAACCTCTTAAGAAACCTTATCATTTACCTCTCTGCAGGCTCACTGCAGTGCCTGATGCTCTTCCCACTCCAGAACACAGGACAGAGGACCCTGACCAGCCAGGTGGGGTGTGGGGCACCCCTGCCTCCCCTCCACCAGCCATACTGTCCTCTGAGCAGATGCCCAACCAGAAATTTCCCTGTCAAAAACCATCAGAACCAAGAGAAAGAAGGGGGGCACATTGCCCCCTCCGGACTGTTCCCGCGTGGAGTGTGGATGCCGGGAGGGCCCTAGGGGGTCCCGATGGGATGGATGGATGGATGGATGGATGGATGGATGGATGGATGGATGGATGGATGGGTGGGTGGACAGATGGACGGACGGACGGGACGACGGAAGGTGGTGCAGTGGCTAGGGAGGCCCCACGGGGTGCAGTGCCGGGCCGGAGCCTGGAGGCGGGGGCCGGGTGCGCGGTGCCCTTGTGGCGGGGGCGGCGGGCGGGCAGCGCCGGCCTGCGAGCACCTCCATCCCGACCGGAGACCCCGAGGGCGGGGGCGGCACTGCGGGATTCCCAAAGGCCCCGGCGAGGGGGCGGCGGCGGGGCCGGGCGGCCGCGCCATGGAGGCGCCGGCTGCCTTCCTTCCCTCGGCGCGCCTGCCTTCCTCCGCCGCGGCGCCTCCTCCCCGCGCCGCTCCCGCCCGCCTCGCCTCGCTCTTTCCTCACCGGCCGAGGAGTGGATCTTGGAGGACTTCCGCCGCAGGGACATCTTCAGCGCGGTGTCCAGGCCGGCCCTGTTCGGCATGGTGTGGCCGGCCGGGGCGGGCTGGCCATGGGCCCCCCCGCACGCAGACGCCGCGCTGCGGCCGCCGGCACCGCCGCGCCCGGGCTGCGGGGGCGGGCGAGGCGCTGAGCCCGGGCCGGGCCCCGCTCCCCGCCGGGCTGGGGGTCCCCTCCCGGGGAGCCTCCGTGCGCCTAGTGTGAGCCATTGCAGACGGCACGATAAAGTCAGGGTTTTGTGGGTTCTTTTGAGGTGTCTGTCTGGAACTAGGATTTTACTAGACATTTTAGGAGTATAAAGAATCCCAGCGAAGCCCCCGCTGGGATCAGGATCCTTAGCCGGGATTCTTTGATCCAGTTACAAGGGCATCTTTCATCACTGTGGCATGCCGCCAGCCTCATTACAAAAGATATCGTTCCTCCTCAAAATGTCTGGTAAATCAAAGATAAAAAAAGAAATAGAGGAAATATTAATCAATACAGCACTTAACTCTTACAGCGCATCAGCTTTCTGTGCAAAACATTTGCAACCATGAGAATTTACCTGCCAAGGACAGGCAAAGAGGAAATGTAAGTGAATAGGGAAAAAAAATAACTAAAAAGTTGCCTCAGTCTCTACATTCATCGGTCTTAACCAGGCATAGCTAGCAGTGATTGCCATGTCTTAATGGGTTACCTTCTCTACCAAGTGAGCTTCAAGGTAGCATAGTTTAAATGAGGCAGAAGCTCCCGTGAGATGAGGATATACTGAATTTTGGGAAGACCTACTGCATAAGAAATGGTCCTCGGTACCTTGAAGGTCTGTGAAAAACGGCCCTGAATCTGTGTCTAAACCACTCTACCATACAGAGTTGGCTAGCATACAACAATAGGGAATGTGGGTGGTATTTCAAAGGTCATAAATAATGCAAAACTGCTGAATCTCGCTGTACTTTGATGTCCTCATAATACGGAAACTGATACTTTCCAGCTACAGCTTCACTAAATGTTGCGAATAGAATTTTGGTTGTCAAATCACTTTGTGCTTCATAAATACAAAGTAGTCTAGAAATTTGGCATTTTACACTAACGGCTCTGAGTGCATCATCGCCCACCTGAAGATGTTTGCTTTGGGACTGGACTGCTGCAGACAGACATTTCTTGCCTATGAGAAACTATTACTTGTGGATTTTATCACTCTGGGAGAAGGCTGGTGCAAGAGCTTGTGTGAATGAAATCATCCAGTAAGGGCAATGCTGAATGCTGGCGTTCCTGCATGCCTTTCCCATTTTAAGTCCATGACATGGAGTTGATTATTGTCATGAACATCATTTTCTCCATCAGCTTACTCTTTCTCCTCTCCACAAATTATTTTCTGTTGCAGTCAGTGTCTTTGCCCCAGTAGGAATTGCCTGGATAACAGAATATCAGTTCACATATATTCTTGGGTAGTAGACAAAAATAAAATGAAGTTCACTTTGGGTTTGAGCTGCCAGATCAAAGTCAAAGAAAGTGCTCCAAAAAAAGGACCAAAAAAGAATGGCAACTCCTGGTTTCATGTTTACTTTTTTAATCAGAAATTAGCTGTGAGGTGAACTGTGTTTACAGGACGCTAAAAGTATTGTCAAACTGTAAGCTGTCAACCCTGTCAACCTGTGAGCCCGTAGCAGCTAAGTGCACTCATTCCTTCACCTGTACTGCACTTGCTTTCACCTCTGCACACTCAATGTTCTCGAAGAGTGCTCCAGATAGCACATCATCTGCCTTGCATTTACACAGGCTACTCACTTGTAAACTTAACTACTTGAGCACTTTGAAGAGATTTAATTACCCAACCCACACTTACCTCCACAAGCCTGAGATGTGTCCCTGTGGAAGGAAGCTCCCTGAACATTAATGAGCAGGCATTTCTGTAAAGCGTAATGGCATGGAAGAAAGAAATCACATCTTTGCCCCTGCATAGACTGAAAGTCTCAGAGGGCCTGCCTGCAATGTCTGTCTCAAGTCACAAATTGCTATAATCGTACACTGCAGTCTAACGGGAAGCTGAGGGGAGAAGGTGGACTGCAAAAGTGTCTAAGGAAACCAAGCGTGCAGGATAATCTTGGTACCTGAGAAAGGACCTGGATCCTGCTCAGCAGGCTTAAGAGTGGGGCCCGCAGGAAAACTAAGTGTACAGTCCAGAGGTGAACTCATGTTGGTTATGTTTCTGAAAGCTCACGTTCATTAGTAACAACTGACAAGCTGCAGGTGAGCCCTGAGCTTTCAGAAAAGAGGCTGATTGTTCTGCTGTGCAGGACTCACCCTTGTCATTGTGTTCTGCAATGCCTGTCTTTGTCGTAGCGCTGATGTGCACTAAATTGTGTATTATTGGACCATGAGTCAGGGCAGTATTATTCCCTGGGGTCTGTCATAATGGATCCATGTTTTGAATGATGTACCAAAAACAAAAGGAGTTGGTATTTTTCAAATTAGAATGTGATGACTTTTCTAGTATTTATAGCAATGTACTTTCAAAGAGCTCAGTATGCATAATAATTATTTCAGTGTAATAAATAAAGCAAAGGCAGGAAGAATGGTCCTGTAGTTAATGTGCCAGACTGGGAGACAGGATATCTTTATGGTATTTCTGACTGTGCCAGATGCCGTCTGGGACCTTGGAGAGATTGTTAAGCCCAAATTTCCAAAAGATGCATTCTCTGCTACAATTATTAATGTTATGCAAAGAGTTTGGTTCTGGGGGAAAAGAAAAAGGGAGCACACCATTCTCAGTCTAATCAAAGAACTATTAGGTGAAAGCTAATTAATACAGAAAAGAAAAAAGAAAGAAATTAAAAAATGCTACTACTACTTAAACAAAAGAAAAAAATTAGGAATAATAATGCAGTTCATTTCTTTGTAGGCACACTCTTCCTGTCTGTCCTTTTTTTGGTGTTGTGCTTACCCTCCCACTGCCCCTCTAGGGTCGACACTGCCAGCTTTTGTCAAGCAGTGGGTGTTGGGGCTGTGGCTGGTCATCCGTGTGTTCCCAACAAGTTCTTTGCTGAGAAAAGCAAAGAACTAATAAGGGGCTATTTTATGGGAGTTTTAAAATCCCTTTATACCTTACTCTTTCTTCATTTGTCTACAGCTCCACTTTAATCCAATTGCATTATATGTGATGCCATTTATGTATGTTACATACTTGTTCTTTGTGTAATCCCTAAACTGTTTTTGTCCAGTTCTCAAGTCTGCACTGCTTTAGCTGACTACTGGAGAGCTCTTTATAGCCCCAAGTTCTCCAGTGCCAAGGCTGTCCCCCTTTTTTTATCATCCTATACCTGCTCTACAGTGTCCTGTGAGCCCACTCTCAGGGGACCCTGCTGTCATACCAGGCCTGTATTTCTCTACATCTTATGTTATTATGTTATATATCATTATGTTAGTCATAAGCCTGTGGCCTCCTTCCAGCAGTGGTGGTGTTAGGCTACAGGATGAGAGTAAGCGCATGCAAGTTCTGCATGTCTAAATCTGCTTGTGTTAAAAAACAAAACAAAACAAAACAACATAATAGATTCTCTTGGTCTTAAATCTTTGTGCTGTGGTACTTTGCCCTTGCTTACATGCATAGGATCAAAACGAGCATGATGCAGATAATATGCTGAGATACATAGGAGGTATCTGTCATGACATTTTTAAAAAGGTTATATATATAAAAAAAAAGTCAAAAAGCCAGGACCTGCTGTTTCTAGATTGATAGAGAAAGTGTGCTTGTCATCACTCAGCTTAAGAAAATAAGTAAAACAATTTATGGATCTTCTTCGCAGAGATGCTGATCTCTACAGACCAATACAGGACGTGACTATTAATATGTGAACATGTGTCAATGCATGTATGATTCATCTGTAATCTCTTAAAGGAGCCAGAGTCTCCTATATTTTATAGAGCAGAAGGGGCTTGGCTTAACAATACATTCCTCCTAGTTACCCATAACCCACAGATTTAACCTGAAGATGGAAAAAAATATGATGAATTGCACATTGAAGGGGTGCATGGTAGAGGTGTGGCAGGATGAAGGAAGTGTAAACCATTACCTGTCAATGCAATGGGGGAAAAAAGATCAAAGATTGGGAAATGTTGGTATCTTCATTTTTAAAGTGCTGATCAAAGCTCATTCAAGGCTATACAGTTCTTTCTTCTTATTTCCAGTGGAAATTTTCCGTCCAATGGAAGACAATCAGCATCAGGCACGCCAAGGTTTCCCAGATGACTTTTGAATAATGACACATAAATAAAATTACAGTGAGTAGAATAATTACATTGATATGTTGAAAACTGAAATTTATACTAATTTTGTAGCAGGAAGTGATCTGTGATTTGCCTGAAAAATATTGAAAAATGTAAAAATACCACCCCCTTCTATATTAACCCTAGCAAAAACAGTGAAACTAAATAGAGAAAAATAATGTATTTTTTCTAGAACTTATTATGACGACTTCTTCATATCTGCAAGGTAGTTCAGGAAAAATACATCAGTGTTATTACTTTACCAGAATACTCCAAGTTTGTATGGTTATAAAGACACATTCAAAATACAGTAACCTAAATTAGAACAATTAATTTTTATTCCATGATAATGGTATCAACAGAAAGAATTAATTGGAAAACTATGTGTAGAACAACCCTTATAAATGCTTTGCACAGAAAGGACGTGCAGTACAGTCAACTGTAGTTCAGACATTCCTCCAGCTTATACTGAGCCAAGTTAGTAATAGCTAGTAATGAAGCAAAAAAAATATTCATAAACAAAGAAGAATAATATTGAGGAAATTAAAAGCTTAATGAAGAAATCATAGAATCATACAATGGCTTAGCTTGAAGGCGACCTTGAAGATCATCTAGTTTCAACACCCCTTCCACTAGACCAAGTTGCTCAGAGCCCCTTCCAATGTGGCCTTGAACACTTCCAGGGATGGGGTATCCTCACTTTCTCTGGGTAACGGGTTCCAGTGCCTTACCACCTTCACAGTAAACAATTTCTTCCTGATATTTGATTTAAACCTGCCCTTTTTCAGTTTAAAGCTATTACACCTTGTCCTTTCACTACA